TAATTAAATCCTTTACTTTTTATAACTATACTAAATAATAAAAGTAAGATCACTATAGTTGTTCACACATTGTCAAATAAGTTTCATCTTCATTTCTAAAATATTATTTCTAACAGTTTTCTGAGCATTCTTCCTTGGCCTCTTAAATGTTTTAGCTGTAACCACAATCACCATATTACCTTAGTATGCTGTATTGGGCCATTTATTCCATAAACAGAACACCTGAAAATTTTGTTTTTAAAAATATTGTTCCAGCTTTCAATCATGTAATGTGAACATTATACGTGTGTAAGCAGGATAGTAAATATCCACTTGGAAGAGTGCTACACGGCTACATGGGTTTCAAGATTTAAGAAAGATCTGTGACTGGGAAATTTGATAGAGGCCTACTGAATTTTTGCAGAAGCACTGAAAGAAAATATTGAGGAGCTCTAGCAATTTAGTCACCCAGGTTTTTCCTCATAGACTCACATAAGGCTGCGGAAACAGGAAAGTAGCTACAGCCAGGGCTAAGTTAAGTGACTATAATGAGTTGAAACTTGTAACAATAAAGACCTATAGAATGTGTGAAAAATAAAACCACTGTGGCCTATATCAGGTCAGAGAGACTTGCCAGATGTGCAGGCAGGAATTATATCCTGGCAAGTTTTTACCTCTCAGAAATTACAATGTCCTTCAGTGGAACAAAGCTGATAGAGCTGAGTGATGGTACAAGCCTGGGGTAACATCAGCCTTGGGGTGCTAAGGTGGGAAGATCAAGGCTAGCCTGAGCGATGTAGTGAGACCCTCCATCTCAAACAAACAAACAAACAGCAGAGAAGGAAAAAGAGAACAGAATAGCTCTGTTTTGTTAAAGATGCAATATGTGACACATTTAAGCACTTCATGTAGTGCTTTGAATGATCCGTGCCTCTGTTTTGAGTGATGTGATTCAGGGGATATGAAGCACAGTCTGTTTGTACCAGGCCTCTAGCAATCGTAGACTGGCAGAAATAGAAATGAAAAGGGAATAAAAAAGGTAGCAGGGTGTCTAGACAGAAAAGTGCTTTGCCTAGACCAAGTGCACTGACCTATCTGACCACTAGATCGGAAAACTGGAAGGCACAGAATTACCTGAAGCTTATCTTTCAAAGCTCTGTCCTGCTCTGCCTTTAGCTCATCTTTGTCTTTCTGAATCTGGTTAGCCAGTTGTTGCACACGCTCCTCAAACATCTTTTCTTTCTGGTCTACCATATGCTGGTTTATCTTCTTCACTTCCTCCACCATTTTTGCTACGGCCTGTGCATTTTCAGTTTGTGCAGCTTCCACTGAGAAAAAGGAAGAAAACACAGTGTAGGATTATCACATAGCTTCTCCCTCAAATGCCTGTTTATATTGTCACTTTGCAGATAAACCAGTAGTGACTGGAGTTCCACCAAATACTTTTCATGCTCAGATGTGACTTTGAGAGTGAAGACACATCTTCGCTGTCTTGCTGTAGTTTGAAAACCTGATGTAACTAAGCCAGCACCAAGGAAGGAGAAGGCACTAATTACCCCTGGGCTTCACTGCCAGGGAAGCTCAAAGTCTGCTTAGATATTCACTCTACACAGGGACAAAAGTTCTCTGGCCGCCCCCCGCCCTCCCCGCAATGTAGCGTCTATACTCCGAATGATTTGAATGACTAAGCTTTCA